GGAATCATTTCTTACAATCTATGACTAGTTTCGTGCATCTGATAATGAAGATTATGACCTTTAATACTATTACCAGTTATCAAATTGTATAGAAATTTCTTGCTTTGGTCCCGATCACGGAGTGTCATTTGCCGATATGTAGCTTTAATAAATCTTAGATTTTAATAAAATTGAATGTTTTCTTCTCAAAAAAAGAATATAGTTTTAAAATTTTACAAAACCAAAGTTAAGAATATATCACACACTTACTACCAAAATTCACGGTTTTCTTTTTCTAACGCCAATTAAATCTTTTTCGGTTTTCCCACTTTCAATCTCACATTTGATTTGCTCCCCTGAAATAACACAAATTAATGTTTTATATTTTTTGAAATACATTATTAGCTAATTTAGTTTTTAAGATAAATGTGTGACAGTTGAAATCAATGATGAGCAAACAGCAAAACTGATGCAGGCTACCAGTGAACTTTGTAAGCTTCTGGCAGCCATATGCATTTTTTTTATAGAGTTGCAGGCTTTAAGCTTGCTGAGTACCAACATACTCTAACCTCCAGTACCCCAGGCACTAAAATCATATATGATAATGAGATACAAACTGGTAATATATGGTTTATTCTTTTCATTGATCTACTTTGAATGTTCTTTATTCTGAATATATGCTTAATTAGGGTTTCATAATGACACAAGGAGAAAACAGGCAAATAAAATTACAATATCAAAGTACTGGGGGCTGCAAATTAGGATCTCATGGAGTGCAGGTTGCTCATGACTGATTTAAATCACATGCACACATAAGAAACAGGTAATAACAATAAACTCCCCGTAAGTAATAATCCCTCATTAATCCATTAATGATTAACTATGTTAGATGGCTAAGGCTGCTCTGGGGGATCAGGGACAAAGACCTCCAGGGATTATTAAGAGGTAATCTCTTTTGAATGGTCCCTCACTGCCTAAATGCCAAGATATACGCCATGTTCGAACATGCACTGTTATATTGTCCGATCTACGATACTGAGAGACAAAAAGCAAACTTTCTGACAGAGTTATCATTAAGGCAAGACAATACAGAGACAGAAATAAGAATAATACTAAAGAAAAACAACTTTAAGGAAGTTCAAGAAGCAATGAAATCAATACTAAAGGAGCAAGATAAGAAGCCATGATCTAACAACCTAACATACACACCCAGAAGATAAATAACATGTAAGAGGAAATAGGAAATAAAAAATGCAGGTAGGGAAAACAAAGAAAATAGGACAGACTGCTGATATATCTTGGGTGGGGTACAGGGGGAGTGGCTGGAGGGTGTCCTCCTACATGCCCCGACATAGGCCATATTGGTATTATTAAGAAGCCCTCTTAATGCTTAGAAGACAAAGTAAACAATGAGAAAATTTTTAATCCTATTAACAATGGGGGTGAATAGGAGATGAGGATGAAGACCAATGTTTCCAGAATCAACTGCCCACAAAACTTTTCCAAAGCTTTACACTTGGATTCAATTCTGGGCCCACTAAAATAATGAACTTACATTTTACTACTTCAGCCATCTGGCTGTCAATGCACTTTTTGAATAGGTAATCTCTGGTGATGAACAAAATTTGTTCATCACCAGAGATTACCTATATTGCTCCTTGTTGCCATATCAGCAACAATTTTTTTAAGATTTAATTGAACAGAGCATAAATCAAATTAAATGCTTATTTAAAGTTCTAACTATATATCATATCATATATATATATAAATTAAAGTATGTATGCAATACCATTTAGTACATGTCTCATATCTCAGTATCAACTAGAAATATTAAACTTTCAATTCTGATATTCTACCCTGTGGACACTAAGCGGTCTTTTTCCAGGCCCACAATGGAGCAGCTGGGTGGCAAGGACCATGACTTCACATATTGAAAACTGACCCCCTAAGAAAATTCTTGGAGTTCTTTGCATAACCAAATTCAATCCCGGGTCCCCATGGAATAGGCTGACATCTTAACCACCTCGGCCATCTGGCTGGCATAAAGGAATAAATTAGCAAAAATTATTTAACGTAATTAAAATATGTGTCATTTATGACATATTTACATTTAGTTTATTTAAATTTATAAAATAATTTAGTAATTAACCTTTTAATTTTTACACATTGAAATTGTTTCCAGGCAGACGATTGCTATAACCTGTGGCTATAAAATTTTATGCATAGAATTAAGCTTAATAAACAAAGTTCTTGATTAGCATATGTAGTTTTATTGTTTTCAAAGCAACCTGGCACATCTCACTTTCAAAAAATATCATTATTACGCATTTAAAATTTAGTGAGTGTCACAGCAGTGACTCCGCACCAAGTGAAAAAGTACAGGAATCAGACTGAATGATTTTCGGGGGACATTTTTCCATCTCCCAAAAATACCTATAGTAAGCCTACACAGAAAAGCTTTCAGGTTTTTCTGTGAAGGAGTTGCTGAAATAAACAATTGAAACATGCAAAAATTGCCAAAAAAGCATATATGTATTTTCTTTTTTTCTTCATCTGATACTACAGATGCTCCAAGATAGCTCAAATTTTAAACTTAAGCTTCTCTTATTATCAGTGAGGTGCTTGTGAAACTTCTGGGTCGTCAACAGGTCAAAGTTCATTTGGGTTTCCCCGTAGAGTTACAGTATTTTACTATCATTACTTAATTTTACGTTCTGTAAGAATAAAATTGCACAGAACAAATGATTTTCATTCAGAATATTATTCAGAATATTATGCAAATTAAAAACTGTTTATAACAATTTCACTAATGGCATATTGAATGTGTTTGGTCGGCAGCCGTTGCATTGCCAAGCACTGACTGAACTGCAAAGTACTGTACATCATCATCTTAGGTGTTGATGTAATAACGCAATAATTAACTAAAAAACAATTCATATCAAAACAAAAATACCCAAGATGTAAACAATTATGAAAAGATAACTGTACTGTAAAAATTGATCTGCAATTTAATTCTCAGCAAGACTTCTAATTTAGACATCAAAAGAAGGCATCGGTATCAAAAAATTAATTAAAAAGTAATAAGGCATAGCACTCAAATCTGGACAACATCTGGAGTGGTACCTAAATGTTTGGAATACTGTCATAAAATATCTGAGAAAGAACCTTTAACGTCTCACATTTGTGTGTGTGTCTTTTATTTTGACTTTGTGGCAATTACTAAAAAACATTTAATAAAAATAGGAAAGTATGAAAAGACATAGCGAGGGAAAGAGAAGTAAAGCTGAAATTTGTGGATAGCAAAATATCCAGGAAAATAATTTTGACTTTGAGAAATCACTCAAATTGTTTTTCTAATACACACAATACTTTGATGTTCTTTAGATCATTTAATGACATTAATAATGAACATAATTGAATTTTATTGGATAACCTCACTAACAAACCACTTATTAAATAGTTTTGTTGTGGAACAGTGCTTAAGTGAATCCTAAATCAGCACCACCCGAATTCATTGATGTTAGACTTTCATTTTTATTTAACTCTGACTGACAACACTCATTTCTTTGGCATTTCATGCTTATCTGCTGCTCATTAATTGTCACTTGAGGGATGAAGAAAGTAGAAATAGAAAGTTATATAAAACATAGTTTTGAAAAGGACAACATTGATAAACTGTAGTATTAACAATGGTCTGGTACAGTCCCATAACAGCTATTAATAATAACAACAACAAAGAAAATCTCAAAAATAAAGAAAAATTAACACTTAACTTTAATTAAAATTGCTCATTTATTACTTATGAACCCTTATTATCAGAAATGTTAAGTATAAACTTACCTAAAATTGTCTCAGTAATATCATGTGCACCAATGGTTTCAATTTCAGAAGCCATATCTGAGGTATTTATATTTCCTAATTCTGATGTTTCTAATATATTTAAAAAGAAAAGAAATTTTTTGATATAACTTCATTAATATATTGCTTTAACTACTTGTTCAGTGAATTACGTTATCATAATTAGTAATTAGACATATTGAAATAAAATTAATTAATACATTTAACACTACAGTATCTTAGCTCCAGTTGCAACTTGTGACAATGTAGCTATTCATTACAATAAAGGGCAGCTAATTTATTGCAGAAACTGGTTACATAATACACATCTGTGCTTACAACTGGCACATGTATAATGTATTCAGTGTCTTCCTGCAAAAATAATGCATAAATTTGATATAAAGACCATTCTTAATATAATGTCCACTTTTGACATGTCCTGTAAAAGTCGCTACAAAGTGAGTCTACCATATAATCAAAATTGACTCAATTTTCATTCTAAAATAAAGGCATATTCCAGTATGCATCAGAGAGCAAACTGGTGAATCATAAGGCAACAAGTGTTCTGCCATTTACAGTTGAGATTGTCGGCACAGAAACCAATGCTCGTTAGATTCATGCACATGAAACTATTAGCTTCTGCCACATTGACAGTTGTTCCAGGATATGCATTTTTAACTGTTCACCAGTGCATCATTTGAAGCTGTAGCTGATAAATACTGGAACATGCCCACATTTTCATTTGATTTAAGTATACCAGGTGTGACAATTTAATTCCCAAAAGGCACCTTTAAAAATATACATGCAGAACTGTACACTATTGGCTATTGTTACCTATTGTCCGTGCGTCTATATATTGACTTAAATGGCATTCCCATTTTTGTAAGCATGCCTGGAACTCTTTCTGGAATACTATCAAGCAGCTGTCTCAAATTCTATTGGATATCAGTTATATTAGAAAATATTTGTACTTTTGGCAGTTTTTCATTTCTAAAATAGTCAGAAATCACAGAACAAAGTCAGGTGAATAGGCAGGATGATTGGGGTTTGGATAATCACTTTTTTGGGACAGAAAATGTCTCGTAATGAGTGCACTGTGACAGCCTGATGAATGATCCATTTGTCAGGCTACAATTCAGGTCTTTTTCTTCAAATAGAATCTCTTATTTTACAAAAAATATATTTCTTGGTAGACTATACATACTGAATAAGTCTATTTTATTCAGTCCTTTCACACACTGTTGAGGTAATAATGATTCCACAGCGGAGTTGACCTTTCATAGTATGCTACTCATCTGCCATCCAATGCAAAAAAGTATATATTTTTTGCATTGGAAAAAAATATAGTTTTTGTAAATCTAAATTTGTTCTGGCAATTTTTTAAAATAGAATCTCTTATTCTCTGCAGTACTTCTAATAGCATTGTTGATTGACTGTTCTGTTGATTGTGTCTGATCAATAAATTTTTGGTGGACTAATCCCTTCTGATCAAAGAAACACACTAGCATGGTCTTGCACTGTGAGTGCAATATGCGTGCCTTTTTAGGGTGTGGTGAACCTGAGGAATTCCATTGCACGGTCATGGCAATGTTTTGTTTCTGGGTGGTACTGTAATGTTTTGATAACACATTTGCCGATTTCCACACAAAATTTAATATTACGTTGCTCTAAATTTTGGTCACCCATTTATGCCAAAGAGTATACANGTTTCATAAATTGTCACTAAAGTGAACAACAAAAATTATAGTAATGATGTCTACATGTAAATTTCAAGTTGAAAGTTTGAGTCATGTATAGTGAAATCGTTGTCATCCACAACACAGAATTGTAAACTTAGTTACTACATTAAATTAGTACACATATCCTGTCATCGGCATATCCCTGGATCTTATATGAACTTAACATAGTATCTTCTTCATTAAGTTGTAGTAAGCTATCATAAACGATATTCCAGAGGCCCGGCCCTGAACGGGACCCTTGGGGGCAACCCCTGGATAAGGTACGGACAATACTACTACCAAATTCATAAATCCCCGCAGTCCTATTATCGAGATAATTAAGTAGATACACAGATATAACTATTACCTTTGCAATAGCTAATTAACAACTAGTTCTATCAGCTTGAAATTTACATAAGTATTAGTTCAAACATGTTCGAATACAAATGTGTGTGTCATTTCAATATAATTATGTCATGGGTGAGACTATGCGACCATTCTGGGAATTAAATTATCACACCTTGTATGTATAAAAACTCATATTATAATCAAGTTACATTATATTTTAGATTAATTAAGTTATATAAAATAAATAAAAATACCAGATAGTTTGCGCTCCTTTTGCAATCTTTCCATTGCCTGAATTCTTCTTATCTCTAGTATAGTAGGTGTTTCTGTGACGTCGAGCATCAACATGGTATCGTTTCCTTTTGAAAGTAAGAAACGGAACCAAGAAAATAAAGATATCATTGCCAAAAAGAAAAAATTTGTTCCAATACCTAAAACTGCAGAGAATATGGGCCAATAATACATAAAATATCTGAAAAAATTTTAAAAATTACACTCAATATTCAATTTTATTTTAATCTGTTAGATGTAATAATTACCTTAAACCAGTGAATTCAGCATGAATTCTAAGAGTTGCTGCATAAATCTCAATGGCATGGCTTTGAATTTCGATACGAGATGTAAAAGCCGGTCGGGTCTACAAGAAAAGAAATGTCCGTATGTAACACTAATAATTTACAATATATAAGAATAAATAAACAACATTACTGCATATAAATGCAATTTATACTTACTGGATCTTCCTCATAATGTTCAAATAACGAAACCGATACCAACTGTTTTTCTTCGACCGTACCAGAAAGCAGTAATGGAGCAAAAAACAATGTTCGTATTATGCGATGTAGGTGAGATTTAAAATGAAGAACTCCCTGAAATTAATGATAAAATTTGGAAATTTCAAACTTTTATAGAATATCTACTTTCAAATCTTTTAATTTTTAAATTGTATATATCTGTTCTACACTTTTATTTATAAGGGGAGGTTGAGAAATGTATTTCATGGATTTGGATCAGTGTTTGCATGGTTATTCTGGAGCACTGAAAAGTATTTACACCCTGTAAAGCTGTGGGTTCCACTTCTGCATCTTCAAGAAAACCATAAAAATTACTTGTTTTTGCATTATGTACCAATTCTCCAGATATAAAAGCCCAACTTAACATTATGATTTTCTATAATAAAATACAAAAGTGAAACTTATAGGTTTACAGAAGATACTTTTTAGTGTGTGTACTCCAGAATAACCATGAGGGCTGATCAAAATCCATGAAATGTTTGAGCCT